ACTGGAATAAATTTCTGGTTTTTGACTCCTTATGTAATGTTATGTATATCTTTCTTATATTGCTGATTTTTTTTTAACTAGGCTTATAGCTATTTGTTTCCGTGTCTAAAGTCCCTCACAAGACTGGAAGGCCTATAATGTAATATCTACCTGTTATCGTCTCTTCTATACTGAATGCTCAATAAATACACAGATGATTAATTAATGCCCAACATTTTTAATTACCTCCAGAAAAAAAAAATCCATACAGTTAAGCATGCGCTTCTCACATTTCAGTACTCCAAAATGAAAGTAGTTGTAAATAGGTGAAGTTTAAGTGAAATTTTTTCAAAAGCACTTTAATTCTAAAAATTCAAAATTAGCAATTGCCAGAAAATATTCATAGGATGAAGTTTTAAAGTGAAGTCAGGCCATATTGTTTCCAAATTAAGATGGGAACTTACTATTAAAAATCTTCCACAGATTGAAAATGACTAATCAACATTAGGAAAATGAAATTGGAAGATCTGCCCTCATACTGTTTATGGCTAAAAATGTTTTCATGTTCATTTTTGACAGTGTTGTTCCAGTGTGAAAATTTCAATGATTAGAATGATTGGATTGAAAAAAATAAATAATTATCTAGTCTCTGCAAGATGATCTTGGGCCAATGCCTTGATTTCTGTCAATCTCCAACTCCAGAGAGGAGTCTGAGATGAGTCTTAAAGGATATCAAATTTGAGAGATGTGAAACTATAGAGCTATGTATTCTTTAGAAAGGTGGAACAGTATGTACAGTAAAGGAATTAAACGTGCATTATTTCCATGGGTCCTGATTGCTCTAACCACCTATGAGTCTATGATTTTAAAAATCATTTTTAAATTTCAAAATCAAATTGGAATGTGTAACCTGTCAGTAAGTCAGTCTTCATCAGTAACTGTTACAGATAATAGGTGGACATTTATACCAAACCATATACAAAATAATTATCTTTCTTGGAGACTTAATTAACAGGTTTGAATTAAAAGACTTAAAAAATTAGATTGGTAGAACACTGGTTGTTTTTAACTGTATTAGAAGAATCATTGTATAGGAACAGTGTTTACCTATGTATCTTCATATTAAGAAAGAGAAAACTTTTTGAAGAAACAGTTGTTTATATTTCAATGTGATTATATAATTTCAGTGGGTAAGTTTTAGGAGATGATGTAGAAAGGACATAGGATCTACATTTTACTATTAGCTTTGCCCCAACTAGCTACCAGGTAACCTCTCCAGGCCTTGGTTCCCTCATAAGTAAAAGGAGGGAGTGGAATAGTCTGTTATGTCCCTTTGACCTGTGAAATATGGTGTCTGTGTCTGTCCATATTTGAAGAACATAGGGGATAAAATGACATTTAGTTGCATTTGATTAAAAAGAACTAGCCTATTAGTTTTCTTATTTCAAATGTAAAGGAGAGTGATCAGCAAATAAAAACATGGTGCAAAAGAGTTAAATAATAAAATTAATAACAGATCATTAATTAATGAATCAATTGGCAATATTAGGAATACATTGATGTTAAATGACTCTAAAAATCTTGGACATCTCGAGCTGAATTATAACTACTTTATATGGTCCTGTGGTAATGAGTCTTATATTTTGAAGAATGTTTCTAGACTCAAATGCACAAATGAAAATTGTTACCTTTAACATAGTTACTTTGGGAGACTGAGCTCCTTTATTCATATCACATTACTTAGCACCTACTGTTTTGCACTGATGCTGCCATATTAAGTTGGAGGTAAAGTTGGGGGATTGTAGAAATCAGGAATCATTTTCCTCAAATGCTGGTTTGTAATTTTTTTTACTTTAATTCACTTTCATTTTGATTCTGAACCCCAATCATGTCTTACATTTTTTGTTCTCTTTCACTTTTGCCTTTTCTTCCTCTTTCACTCTTCAGAAAGAACAGAGAATTTAGTGTTGGCGAGACCTAGTTTAGAGTTCACTTCCCCTCACTTACTAGTAATAGGATCTTAATAAAGTCACATTTTCTCTCTGCACCTAAGTTTTCCCTTTTTTTTTTATTTTTTGTAAAAATGGATATAATGCCAGTTGTCTAATTCCCTCATGGAGCATTTTTTAGTGGAGTAGGAAAACATCGATGCTCGGTAAACCATAAAGCAGTATGCAGATATAGACTTTATGACTTAATAAGACAGAGAGGTGTGTGAAAGAACACAGGTTTTAAGCCCAGATTCATCTTTATTCAATTCCTGCATTTGCCACTTACTAGTTTAGTGCAGTCTTAGTTTGTGAAATGTATATATAACATCTAATGACATCTCCTTCGTGATTGTAATGATGACATAAGGTAATCTTTATAAATCTCTGTGAGATAAACAGGGGTACCTTTTATTCCCATTTATTCTTAGATGAAACAATTGAGACTTAAAGAATTCAAGTGTTTTGTTTAGGATTATACAGGTTGTCAGTTAAATAACCAGAATAAACTTAGTATTACAATGTGAGTTTTGTTTTATGGATAAATTATATCAGGTAATTTCAAAGAAAGAGTTCCATGTATGTTTGGAGCACAAAATATACATTTGGAATATATGTATAGATGAGATCCATAGAAGGGTTACTTTGAAACATTCAGATTTATTTGTTCTTGTGCATTTCTTTGTTAACCACAAAAATTGACCAGTTGCTTTTTTTATTTGCAACTCATACAGATTTTAAACTGTGGTCTTATGTAGTGACCTAGAGGAAGGCGAAAACTAATTGGCTCCCTTTTCAATTGTAGTGCTGCTTGGCTCATGAGGCCTAGATGTCACTATTACATGTGATGAACAATGAATACTAGAATTGTAAAAATGAGAGTTGATGGCTCCAATCATGTATTAACTCAGGACATATGGTGGGTTTTACCTCTAGTTTCACAAATTCCATTTGTCTGCTGCTTTTTGCTTTCTGTGTTACACTTGACTAGTAGTAACAGATTTTTTTTCCCCCTGTGGAAACTTTCTTGATTGTCAGTACATCTACAAGGGCATAATCATGATATATTAAAAATAGTCATGTAAATTATAATCACATTTTTCAGAATATTGCTAATGATGATGATTTTTCTTTAAATACTGATTGGGACTTTCTTGTCTTGGAATAAGGGTAATCATATCTAAATTGTTTTATTTAATCTACTTTTAGTTTAAATCCAGAGTTATAGCAAGGCTTGGTATTAATACCATGACAAGGAAGTAGTTTATGATTTTGCCTGGGAAAAAATTCTTTGGTTAAATTATGTTGAACTTCTTAAAATTTTTAAATTGATGTAATGTATAGTGGAAGATTTTACCAATTCATAGATGTATAAAATAAGTTACTGGCAAAGGAAATTATTTCATCTTGAGATTTAAGTGTTTCTAAAAATAAAAAGATATTGTTTAAAATGGTGAAAAATATATTTAGCCATGCCTTTTATGGTGACAGCGATAGAAGTACAAAGTTAAGTCACACTAAAACATTTGTGTTAAAAAGCAATGCTTGTACATTTTTACCACATTTACATCTTTTTCTGTTTTATGTCCATCCTCTAATTTTGATCAGAAGATTTCTTCCATGTTATTCTTTCAATAGCAGGCTAACTTTTATGAGGACATGATCAGAGGATGGGACTCAGCATGGTAGATAGGAGCCAAAAAATCAAAGCATAATTGCGTGCCCAGTTTCCGATCACTGTCCCTGAAATAAGTGGAAACATTCAGAGCAGGGAAATATATTCAAATCTATGACAGGAATTTCCCTTCTTATGTACTATGCACATGAACTTTAAGAAAATTGTATGTTTAGATATTTTTAAATCTAGCCAATAGACTTATGTTATTCATCATTGTAGTCAATATTATTAGAGTAATTGTTTTTATTTTCATGACACCAATGAAGTTTGCTGAAAGGTCCCATTAAACTAAGAGCATAACTTGAAGGGAATATGTGGAGAATGTCTTGAGTTGCAAACTAGTCACAATCAACTAACTAGTACACACATGTATTTCTTATAATCCAGGTCTGGTTTCTTGCTCAACTGTGACATGACTTTTCTCTTTGGAGTGTGGCCAAATAGCCAAGAAATAGATTCAGATTCAATTAACCATACTGTATATCTGGAATGAGCCAAGCATTGAGTGATATGTACTCAAGTACATCCTATCCTGTTGTCCTGGCAAAATTATTACTGGCAAATGTTTCACTCTTAAAAGTATTTTGATTTACACAAGAAATGATATGTTACCTTACCAATTAGGCAGGTGGTGATAGTATCTTCTTTTCTTCTTCATTTTCTTTTTAAATGCTAAAGACACTGGAATTTTGCAGCTTTAAGTAACGATCCCAAAGACATAAATACTTCATGTCAAACCTAGAATTTACCCTACATGTTTTGACTTGAAAAGCTTTTTTTTTTCTTCTCAGTTCATATTTGTTATTTTGTTATTACAGATATAATCTGTAAGTTTGTCAGTTTTCAAGATTTTATCTGATTTGTCCTGTGCCTATTTATTATTATGGATGTTTATTCTCTCTGTCTCTCTGTCTTTTCTCTTCTTGAGTATCATTTTCATAGAAAGCATTAAGAGAAATTGAGATAAAATGAGCCACACTAATTGTAAGCCATCTCCAAATGAGAAACTATTGAAAATGTTATTACCAGCTGGATGCTGGAAAGTATTAAAGAGCTGGGGGCACAACAGTGTGACCAGTTTGACCTTATAGAGAGAAATATAAATTTGTCTTGAATTAGCCAGTCTGTGTCAGAGGTTATTTTACTGATAGTCTGATCAGTTCTTTTAGACTGATCACTCATAATTGAGCCAGATCTCACATATAACAAATTCAACCATAGGCAAAACCATTGTAATTATTTTCCTATTTACTGTCAACTCTGAAAATCATTGTGTGCTTCTAGAAATTGAGATAGTTGTCAAGAATAAGTTTTGTTTATGCTAAGTTGTAATTTTCTTTTTCTGTGTTTGCTAGATTTTTCTAGATATGACATTTGGTTCGGGAGGGCACACAAAAGCCATTCTACAGAAGGAGTCAGATATTGTTTTGTATGCCTTGGACAGAGACCCGACAGCTTATGCATTAGCTGAACATCTTTCAGAGTTGTATCCGTAAGTAATACCGTTGCATATTTATTTGATTTTCGTTCTTAGTTTTACAGAGCTTGGCTTACCACTTTGGAGTTTGTTCTGCTTTGCATGGGCTATATTTTGCTCCATTAAATATTTTCTCAATTTTTTCCCCCAAAATAATTAATGTAAGTGATATTTTTAGTGCCACTTAAAGTAATGCTATTTTTCAGTTATCCTTTCTGAATCCATAAAAAGAAATACAAAAATGTCTTCCACTTACAAGACTGAAAATGTTTTGGAATCCATCCACAAATAATATTTTGACAATAACTCATAGTCAAAAAATAATTTTTAAACATTTTTATGAGTTTATTTCTAAGAATTTAGCAGAGTAAATAAGTATGTGAGAATTCTGTAGAACTCATGGGGACATATACATCAACATAATATACTCGTTTGCTTTGAATTTTCCGAAATTCACAAATAAATCTAGAGTGATCCACCCTTCTATCAGAAAAAGTGATGTATAACTAAAGAACTTTTTAAAAATATAAAATATTACATGAATGAGTGGTAAAACCATCTGCCTTTAAAGAAACATTTTGAATTAGGGAGTAGAGTTTACATGATTTGTTGTTTAAAGCCATCATTTTAAAAGAGAAAAATATCTTGGAGCTAAGATGGGTCTCTCCAAATACATAAAGGACTGTTTTCAGGAATGGGAAATTGTTTTATTCTGTCATTCATCAGAGACTGGAGTCAAGAAAATAGATGGGAATTTGAGAGGTAATTTTGAGTTGATGTGAACTATAGTTCCCATCAAAAGTTGAAGTTTTGACTTGATGTGGACTAGAGTTTTTACTAGTTGTAGCTATTCAACAGCAAAATGGTCTCTTTGGTGAAGTTCTAAAAATATGACCATGGAAAAGTTTAATTAGACACTAAGAATAGAAAGTTTAATTCGTCATCTAGAATAGTATTTAGTCTCTTTCTGGTCCCAAACTCTTTGCAAATCTAATGAATGTGATTAACTCTCCCCATAAAACTATAAATAAATACACATAAGCTTTTGTTTGCAAGATCACAGAATTTATGGAGTCCCTGAAGCCTACCATTTGACCCCAGATTATTTCATTTCTTCCAAGAATAATATGAAGATGTGGTTTAATTACATGGTACTAATTTTTAATATTTTAAATCTATCTGTCTTCTGCAGTGTAACTTAGATGTACCTTCTTTAATAAGATGTTTGATTAGAGCATTCATATTTGTGAAACATTGTATGAGTTCACTTTGTTATGATGTGAACATGCATGAAGTATAGACCTCTTTTATACAGCAGTCCCTTTGTACTTGAGGAGAAGTGGATACCAAAATCCGTGGATGCTCAATTCCCTTATATAAAATGGTGCAGTATTTGCATATAACCTACACACATCATCCCATATACTTCAAATCATCTCTAAGTTACTTACCTAATACAAAGTAAATACTGTTTGAACAGTTGTTATGCTTTATTGTTTAGGGAATAATGACAAGGAAAAAAGTTTTGTACATGTTCAGTACAGATGCACCTATCTTTTTTTATGATCTGCAGTTAGTTGAATCAATTGATGTGGGATCCACAGATAAAGAGGGCCAGTCATATTTTACTGTCATAGAAAAACTGAATTTTCCTAAGATATTGTTGTTTCTTAAGGCAATGATTCCCAATCCAGTGATTTCAATGGCTCTTATTCCTTTAAGCACTCCACTTTCTCAAATGTAGCTTAAAGTTTATAAATTTTACCATGTGTAATTTTTTTTTAACCTAACAGGAACTATCAGGCTGTATATTCTTTTTAGTTTATAGATGTGGAAACTATTAGCCAGATAGATGAAGTGATTTGCTAGAAGGCATAAGTGACTTTATGGGGACAGACCTGGGACATGTATTCTAATCCCTAGCCTCACAATCTCATTTTATTAAATATTACTACTTTAGCTCAAATCTTGAGACTTTTTTTACTTCATTGACAAAATGATTTCTTTGTCAAACAGAATAAATTAGATAAGAAAAAGGAAGCAGATCAGAGTAAGCCGTGAAGAAGGAATTAATACAGATAAAAGCTAGACTCAAGGAAACTATAAACAAAAAAAAAAAAAAAGAAAAGAAAAAATTGAAAGGATAAAGAAATCGCAAGAGATCAGTCTTTGAAAATAGCAAAATCACTTTTGAGCCTGATTTCTAGAGCTAAAACGTGTGATTAAGATTGAGAAGGAAGACCAACCATAGACACAAGATAAGTTCATCATAAGATAATAAAACTGCAACTCTCTGGTAACTTGCAAAACCTAGATGAAATGAATGATATCCTAACAAAATATAAATTATTAAAACTTGATTAATAGTTATAAAATTTGAATGTCATCACCATAATAGAAATCAGAAGGTAGCTGAAGTATATAGGAAAAAACACCCTGACCAAATGGATTTGCAGTTATTTAATTCTTAAAAAAAAAAAAAAAAGAGGAAATAGCAATGCCTTTTACACTAATCCTGACCATGGTAAATTTGGAAAATTATTTCCGTTAATATTATGAATCTAGCATAATTTTAATACCCATCTTTTTTTTTTATTGGAGACAAGTTTTCACTGTTTTGCCCAGGCTGGAGGGCAGTGATGCCATCATAGCTTACTGCAGCCTCTGCTTCCTGACCCTTCTGCCTCAGCCTCTCAAGTAGCTGAGACTACAGGTATGCACTTGTCTAATTTTTTATTTTTAGTAGAGATGAGGTCTCCCTATGTTGCTCAGGCTGGTCTTAAACTCCTGAGCTCAAGTGATCATCCCACCTCAGCCTCCCAAAGGACTGGGATTATAGGCATGAGCCACCATGCCTGGCCTAATACCAAATCTTGATCGAGATAGTATAAAAAGGAAAAATGTCTAAGTTTGCTGAAGTATAGAAATATAAAAATTGGAAAGGAAATACTAGTATGTCTAATTCACGTTTCATTTAATTAAAATAGTAATACCTATGGCCTAATGAAGTTTATTTCATGAAGATGGAATGTTCCATGTCAGGTAGTTAATCAATGATAGATTGATAAGCATGACAATAATCAACTAGCTATTCTTATTAAAATTTCATTTAAGGAAACTACTTAAATGTAAAATATTCTCAATCAAGGACAAGCAGTATTTTCCTAAAATGTGAAGTACTATATTTAAGACAAAATTAGGATGTAAATAGGATTTAACTTCTATAAATAATATTTCTCAATATTTTTTCAAGATCTGACAAAGTCTAATTAGAATATTCTTATAATGATTTACTGAATAGTTAAAAACCCTAAATACTTATAAAATTAATAAGATGATGTTTAGCTAAAAATTTAAAACTCTATTCAGAATAGAAGAACTCTAGGGACAACAAGAAAGTCAGCCCTTTCCTTTCTATTATAAGGGTCACAGCTGATACCCCTATAACAAAGAGAGGTTGACAAGAGAAAAGAATAACAAATTTATTTGATCATAGTTTTACATGGCACAAGGTCCTTCAGAAAGAAGATACAAAGATATAGCGAGAACTATCCATTTTTTATGTTTAAATTCAATAAAGTATGGAGAGCATGTAGAGCTATGATTGGACAAAAAGGATATATGGTCTAACACTAACTGGCTGAGTTGGGGGGACTCAATAAGGTCTCTCTATGCATCATTCCTTTCTCCTGGGTATGAAGGTAGGACTCCTGTGGAATGAGAGTCTTAATTTCTTTAGGGTCATCTATTCTGTTACACAGAAAGAAGTAGGGGAAGTTAAAATAGTATTTTAGGCTTTGAAGCTGGCTTTGGAGAAAAAAGGTTCTGGTTTCTATGGGGGAGGTTAGAATAATATTTTATGCTTTAAATCTGGCTTTGGAGGAAAGGGATTCTGGTTTCTATGACCCACGTTGAGGAAGAGGGATTCTAGTGTGGCTTGTCTCTGAGGAAAATGAGAGACAGGAGGGAAAGAGGTGGTCAGAAGGTAACTTTGCTTCTGAGGCTGCTTCTTAGGCTTTCACTTGGGGCTATTGCTTTCTGAGCCCCAGCAGTACCTAGAAAGGGAAATGGGAAAAAATATTCTATTCACAAAAGCACCTAAAATTATATAAAATATTTAGTAATAAATTTAACAAAAAGCACACTTCCAAGTGGGAAAACTATAATTTTTTGAAGGGCATACAAGAAGATTTGAACAAAAGGGAAGACATATTTGAGGTAGAGAGAATTAATATTATAAAAAGAGGATGGAGGGAAGAGGATCATGCCTGCAACCCCACCACTTTGTGAGGCCAAAGCCAGAGGATCTCTTGAGCCCAGGAGTTAAGAGACCAGTCCTGGCAACATAGTGAGACACTGTTTCTTACAGAGAAATGGTGGTGCGCACCTGTAGTCCCAGGTACTCAGGAGGCTGTGGTGGGACTCAGGAGGTTGAGATTGCAGTGGGCCCTAGTCATGCCATTGCACTCCAACCTTGGTGACAGAGCAAGATCCTGTCTCAAGATGGATGGATGGATGCATGAATGCATGGATGGATAGACAGATCAGAAAGAATACAAATAAAAAGAGCTAATACTCCCAAAATTCATATATACATGTATTGTACATGTAAATTACTTTGTTCATTAAATTTGGATGATGTGATCCTTAGTTTATATGGGGCAAAAAGTGACAAGATGTTTTTTTAATTAAAAAGTAAGAGGAAACCTGCCTTACTAGATGTAAGATTACACGATAAAGTCACTGTAATGAATCAATACAATATTGATACAAGAATAGGCAAGTGGATTAGTGGAGGAAATAATCCAAAAATTGATTCTGCTAAATAAAGGCATTTAATTGAAGATAAAAATATTTTAATTCATTGAGAAAATGGTGCATTATTAAAAAATGATGCTGTTACAATGCCTGTCAGATTTGAGGAAAATAAAATTGACCCATATTAAAATTTGGATTCAAGAATAACTTCTAGATGGTGTAAAAAATTTGTGAAAATTTGAATATACAAGTTCTAT